TTAAAGAATGTTTTTCATGGTGGTAATTAAAGTGTGGGAAACTCCTAAAAGTGTACAGCAAGTAATAGATTTTTCAGGAAATTCTTATGAAAAGAATGAGTGATCAAGGTTAAGCCAGTAACTGGACAGAGTCCCAGTGAGTGTGTGCTATTTGAATGAAGCCATTATTGTTTTGAAAGAAGAGGTCATCTAAGTGTGATCCTCTCACCAATTTTATCAACTCTGTGATCAGTTGATTCCTTGTAAAGTGATACACAGGTGTGTTCATTATACTTTAGAAAGGGTGAGAGAAACATGACACATTGTCTACAGTGAATTTTACTGTTTGGGTAAAAAACTGAGGGTAGGAAAGTTTTTAAAGGGGTAGGTGTGCTTGTGGAATATACTTGTATCCATGCACAAGTGGAATTATCATGGCAGAAGTTAGAGTATCAAAGCCCTGAAGCTGTAATTTGTGAGACAGATGTGAAAGACATAGGATGCTTGCCTTTAAGAAGTGTAGAATTATTGGGGAAATTAATGTGTAGGCTGTGACCCTGGTAAAGACACTCTCATGTCTTTAAACATTCGAATCCAGCCTATTGTTCAGGTCATTATTTTAATGACCTCTTTGAATAACATGGAGTCAAAGGTTAAAGACCCAGGAGCAGCTTTCAAAGACAAGTTCTGCTAGCTTTTTGTCTTCTTGCCAAGTCAGCCTCATTGTTTGGCAAGTATGCTGTCAGCAAGTTTAATTTAGAAGCAAACAGTTCTTAAATTCTATAGTTTTGTGACCCAACAATTTAAGTACTACAGTCAACTACTCAGATATTTCCATTCTCTTTGAGTCTGGTTCTACATTCATGGGTGCATGGATTATCACTCTTTATTGCTTCACACCATACATGACTCAGGGTCTTTCTTCAAAGCAAGAGAGGTGAGGAAGTGAATATTTAATACTAGGGCAGAAAAAAATAAAGTAAATTTGCTTAAAACCAAAGCAAATGTAAACTTACTGTTTTATTTTTACAGAGCTTCTGTGGTTCTCAGATAATTTTACTGAAACACCTAGTCAACCACAACTTAATTTCTGAAGCCTTGTAATGTAATGATCCAAATGTTTAAGTCTCCTCAGCTGCCTAGTACATACTGTCTTTACTACACAGTTGCATACTCTGTAAAACTGGTAGGGTTCAGTGATGCAAGTCTGTATTCTAGCTACTTAGGAGGCAAAAGCAGAACCATCATGTATTTAGGGCCTGTTAGGTTTGTATGATGAGTTCAGGACAAGACAATTCAGTGAGTACCTGTCTCAGAAAAAGGGGACGGGGAAATGGAGATGTAGCCCAGTGGTAGGTAGAGCTTTTGCATAGCATTCTTAAGGCTCTAAGTTCAATCATATATATTTTCATTCTTCGGTTCAAGTAAATTACTTGGATATTATTAAAATATATTTCATGGTTCAGTTGAACTGTTAGAAGAACCTAGAAGTGTGTACTTCTAATAATGCACACAAGCACACAGACACACACACACACACACACACACACACACACACAAATGTTATATTGAGGATGAGAAAACAATAGCATCAAAATACCATTGTAATCCACAAAGTAAATATTCAAAATGTTAGAAAATCAGTTCTCCATTTTATGAGAACTTGGCGGGGGGAGGGCAGGGGAAGCAAAGAGGATAAATAATACATGCTTCACACTAAAGCTTTATGTTTTCACTGCAGTTTCTTACTCGAATTTTGAGATAGATGCTTCTCTGTTATTTCATCTTTCTTTCATCCGCAGGGTTCCCTGATATTTGCAGGAAAGCCTATCCACATGTCTCCATTGTCTTAAGTATGGGTGGGAAGGAATGTAATGCTAAAGCTTGTACTAGGAGTAGGAAGACCACTCCTACATCCAGACACCCTTAGCCTCAGGCTTGTGTCCCATACATTGCAAGCCATCTCTATTCGTTTTGTGAAAGCCGACTTCTTGTGGCATCATTGAAATATACTTCATGATTCAGTTGGTGTGATGAAGAAGCCTGAAGATGCACATTTCTAGTAAATTTCCGGGTGATGCTGATGCTGCCGATCCATAGACCCCAGTTGGGAACCAGATTCCCATTCTGTCTCTCAACCACTGAACTTCTCAATCAACCTCTCTTTAAAACAATTTCTTTCTCCGGGATGAGCAGGTCATTTGGTTCTGGGAACCTGCCAAGTTGGAAGCCAGACTTTTCTTTCTGGGTCACTCTCTGGTACCAATATCTCAGAAATCTCTCTTCAGAAAGCCTCCAATACAACTCCATGTACTGTATACCGATTACAGGTCCTGATGGACCTGAAGACTGACAAAAGTCAACAGTTTACTGGCATCCATGCAAAGCTCCTTTTGACACAGATCCAGGCACAGTGAGAAAAAGAAAGGGGATCATGGACTTTTTGTTTTCTTCTTGCCCCAGCAGTCAGTGCTGTGATGTGTTGTCCTTTTTTCCACTTGTGCAAGTGCCAGGGAAAATTCTACCCTGTAGGAACTTGCCTAACCTTAAGGCTTACAAAGCCTTGGATGATTCCAGGGGTCATCAACATCAGGAGGAGCCATTATACATAAAGTGCTCTTCGTAGGGTGAAGATTTTCTGCACACTCTCCCAGATGGCCATACAATGTGGGTGAGCATGAGTGAACATAGAGGTCCCACTGTTTTCAGGTGAAACCTCACTTTAACTTCCCCGTGAGTTCCAGGGAGTCATTAGTTCTTTCCTTTGAACTCAGTTTTTTACCTTTAAAGTAGGAATAAAATAAAATTGCATCTCTTTTCTCTTCCACTCTCACATTTATCCTTGAGGTTAAATCTTCCTTCTTCAGCCTTCAGCTCAGCTCTTCCCTTCTTAGTTGTGATTGTTACCTGCATCTAATCAGGAAGTAATTTTCCATTGCAATCCCTGGTCCTCTGGAATTGGTGTTTTTGTTTTGATTGACAGTTTACCAGTCCTCTGCCTTCCCAGAAAAGAAGATGTCCCCTTTGCCCTTTGTATGTCTCTTCCATCTGGCACAGAGTCTGGTGCCTGATAGAAGTGTAATTAGCAAAACAATGTGTGATCATTCTCACAATCAGAATTAATATCAGAGGCTGGCACCGAGTAGGTTACTAAAAAACACTGCTGATTTTTTTTTAGTGCAGATCACACTTTAAACAGATATTTTATTTTGTTTCTGCATACCGAAATCACGGGAAAGAATAGAGTGGACTTGGAACAATTTTAATTTGGACTGTCCAAGTCAAGAAAAAAAATGTGACTGTGATAAGAAACTGGCCTGAATAACTGGAAGAAAAATACACTTTTTTAGACATTTAAGGAATAAAATACCTGTGGCTAAAGACAAAGCTTAATAAACACAAAGTTGTGATTGTCAGCTTTGTTCGTCCGCATTACTCATGCAGCCAATGGGGCTTCTTTTATAAAGCTAGAGAAGATGATTCCCTTCCGTGTTTACCATAGCCCTCCCCCTCCTTTTCACAATTCATGAATATTTTAACGGTGCCTTTTCTATCAGCCAGTCCAAATATCCTCTTGTTAAATATTTCTGGGGCCTGTACTTGAAGAAAGACATGATTTTCTCAAATCTGTGAACAGGACACTTTTTTAAAATGTCAAAATAAACCATCTGCTTGTACAACTGTTTCTAATTACTTCCCTGCCTAGACTCTCCACTGGAGGAGTTTGGCACTCGCACCCCGCCCAGAGCGGATCCACTGCCCAAATCTTCGCAGGCAATTGAGCCTCCAGGAGGAGCCCAGAACCTGTGAGCTCCAGTATCCCAAGTCCTTCTGCCTGGACATCTGCTGGTGATACTTCTTCCTCCTGCCGCCTCGCCTTGGGTGGAAGCCCCACCTAGCAGCCGTGCAGCTGGTCTGCCCTCCCGCCTGCAGAGCTCAGCATGCATCCCCCAGGGTTCAGGAACTTCTTGTTGCTGGCATCTTCCCTTCTCTTCATTGGGCTGTCAGCCGCTCCTCAAAGCTTCTCACCATCTCTGAGGTAAGTTTGGTTTATTGTTGTTTGAGACACACCTGCCCTGCTGTGGGTGGCAGAACTCAAGCTTACAGATGACTGTCCTAAGCCAAGAGCAGTTACTAAGTGGGACGTGAAATAAAATGTTTTCAACCTGTTCTGTCTTTTCTTTCTTTATATCTAACCTTAATGTCGCTTCATATCTGTTCATTCACTTTTTCTTTGGAAAAATACTCATTGAATAAAGCGAGTATCATTTCTCCCTCTGCAAATACGTGTTAGGATTTTATTTTATTTTTATTTATTTATTTATTTATTTATTTATTTATTTATTTATTTATTTATTT